CACAGGCTCCGCCTTCTGCTGTCAAGTGGTCTTTTCTGAAGAAAGGTGTTTAGTGACTTTTTTTTTCGGGTCGCTAGGTGGCGCCAGATATTTCACCTAGAGACCTTGGGGAGCTGTGTTTTTCACCCCGTGTGTTAGGGAACAGAGTGGGAATGGTAAGGAAAACTTCAACGTCTTTGGGGTGCTGTGTCTGCCTTGTGCCCCACCGTCGTGGAGAGCCCACGCCCGAATTTCGTGCCTCGGGTCTCAGTTCCAAAGCCCTCAGGTCCAGGAAGCGGTCTGTAGCCCAGCTCAGTGGCCACAGCAATGGTGCCTTTTGCACCCCCGCTCCCGTGTCTGGGCGCCTGGTTTCTGATTACTCAGTGAGGGACTTTCACCTCAGTGAGGGACCCCGCTCGTCTCCCCGCAAGCCTAGGTCTCAGGCGGGGGGACCTGGGCAGCCGCGATCTCGATCCGCGTTTGCTTTTCCAGCGTGCCGCTTTTCTGCGCGAGCTTACCGGCCGGCCTGGGGCTGTGTGCGTGTCTCCCGTGGTCTCTGCTGTTCTCTAATGGCGTCTGGAGCTCACCGCCGCGGCGAATCATGCAGGGTTCTCCACAGCTCCCCGTTCACGGGGTGTGGTGGCTGCAGTAGTTCCTTTCCACTCAAAGTCCCGCTTGCTGTGTAGTTCGTTCTTGTTGGTCGTTTTAGTTTGTTTTTTCCCTCCTCTCTGTTGGTCGGAGAGTGCCGACTCTGTGGGTGGGGGAGGGGAGCAGGGTTCTGCTTTCCTCCCTTCTGGTCCTCTTTTATGGCAACTGTCTTCTTCGGGTAGTTTGCTGGAGACGTCCCTTTATCTTCCGTGTCCCAGTTCTCACTGGGACCTGCCGCTTTTCTTCCCTATTAACTTTTTTTTTAATGGGAGATCTTACTCGCAGCATTTCCTCACCGCCATGTTGCTCCGCCATCTATTTTACATTTTAAAAGGACATGTTTATTTGGGAGAGGAGCAAAACAGGCCTGCATAGTCAGTAGCGGACAGCAGAGTTGATGTGTATTCGTTTTAGTTGGAAAATGACATATTGATGCCGGCGTGTGTAACAACTGCTGCCACTTTACCACGAGTTCTTGTCTCGCAAAACCATAGAAAGGAATTCACAGACTTTTTGGAGTAAGTAAGCAGAGAGAGACAGATCTTATCTTTGAAAGAAAAGCTTATTTAGGAAGAAAAGAGACAAAGAAGAAAGACTCCCAGTTATAAAGTACCTGGGAGGGGCCAAGATGAGCTGGTACGGGATATTATGTTGGCAATATATACTTTCTCTCCCTCATTATGTTTAAATTTTACTCTTTCTCTCCCTGATTGGTTAACTCCCAGAGGGTCTCACACTTACTAAGTGGGGAAATTTCACATTCCTTATCTAACAGCTTTCCCTTTCCACATTTTTCATGCTTGTCACTCTATCTTTATGGCCTAGTCCTCCCGGTGAGCATCTCTACACTTTATCTTTATGGCCTGGTCCTCCGGGTGTGCATCTCTACATTGAAGTTAAGCAGCTGCCCTTCTAAGTTGTCCATAAATTAAACCACTCTCCATTTCTCTAGTCTCCACCTCCCTTTATCACCTGAAGAAAACCAGGAACATCGTTAACAGCATTAATATTGTCCGTGGTCCTGGGGTGTTTGTTTTTCCTAATGGAATTGGTTATATACCCTTGGTTGTCCTTATCTCTGAAGCCTCCCTAAATTCTTCAGAGGTCCCCTCCTGCACTGTCCCTGAAACTGCCTAATAACCCTAGCTTCCCCTGTGCCTCAATATTAGTGCAAAATCTCTTATATCCATTAAAAACTATACCGTAATAGTATTTCTGCATCATGATACCTGATGGGATGTACCGGGATTTGGGGGATCCCACTCCTTCTTCTGCATCAAGTCTGAAGGCATACTCTGCAAAAATCACATGAAAACAAGACAGCTGGTGAAAAGGACTTGATTTTATTACTATTCCATATTTGCCATGTATTTGAAATGATACTAAAAATACATCAAGTGTCCCCCAAGCCAATGGTTGTTCTACTAGGGCCTAATTCAGCAGTAAGACATGAAATCTTTCAGGTTTTAATGGAACATGTTAGTTACTGAGATTTTCAAGTTGGTTTTGCCATCTCACTCAGTTCTCTTGGTTAATTTTATAAGGTTTCCTCAAGGATATGTGTGAGTCTTGCAGAAGTTAACCAGATGCCTGGAAAATGTATCCAGGATTTTGAAACAAGAAGCCAGTGAAGAAGTCAGGGGAGACCGGGAGCTCAGGGGACCCTGATGGAGGCCTGTTCAGCAGCCACACTGCCTGCCTGGAAGGGGGGTGAAGGTGGCCCAGGACCTCCCTGGGACTTCCACTCTTAGCCCAGCATTTAGGAAAACAAGGACATTTGCAAACAACATCGGCTTCCAGTTAAAGAAACTAGGAAAAAGAGTTAATGAGAAAAAAAAAAAAAGCCCACAACATGGGTCAGAGCAGGAATGTAAGAGATGGGAAACACACTATTAACGAAACCCAACCCTGGCTACTTGAGGTCAGTAAAACTGACACATCTCTAGCAAGACCGAGCCTAAGGAGCCGCAAAGTGGCCAGGGCCAGTGCTGCACCTCCCCCTGCAGTGACCTTTAGGGCTAATGGCTTTTGCCACGGTTCCTAGGTCCGGCTGGGCAAGGAACCAGTGCACAGGGGGAGAACAGCAAAACTCCCTGAAGCAGGGGGAGAACAGCAAAACCCCCTGAAGATATAGATAAGATGGAAGCCTGTTGAAAGATAACGACCCCAAGGAGCCACTACAGGAATGCTGACCGCACGGAACCTTATCTCGCCTTCTCAAGGCCCACAAACTTTATTCTAATACAACTGTCTCTCTAAAATGTTTTCTCTTTCTAAAAATATTTTCTCTTTGTCTAAAAAGGTCATTGGTTTGCTGATTAAAAAAGAACATACAAAATCTAATAACTAGGCTAATTCAAATGAAACATTACTAAACTCTGTGTATTAATAGAACTGTTAGCTTAATAATTTCTCTGTTGTATGCTTAGCCTTGTTAGTATTAATCTTAATGATAAAAATATTACATTGTGAAGAGTAAAACTCACCCGTGCTAATTAATAGTAATTTAGTGGTAGTGAGTAGTTAAAACAAAAAAAAAAAAAATCACATAAAACAAAAAGAAAATTAATAGCCTAACTACTTAGGAATGTGCCTGGTTCCCCATGTAAATCACTGCCCTGTCAATGATAAGCTAAACCTATAAGCAAGCTGATTTCTTCACTGATGTTCGCCATCCCTATGCCTTTAGAAAAACATATATATACTGGTCACCAACTCAAAGAAAATTACACTCAGAATTACACTCTCTCTGGAAGTGTGTCTGTTTGTCATTTCTTTCGCCGAATCCCTGACCACCCTGCACAGTCTCTCAACCCTGAGACGGCCTCATCGTTCGCTGCTGTGCTGGTCCGCGACAGGCCAGCAGCAAGAAGAAAATGTCACCCTCCCTGCTTGCGGCCACCAAGAAAGAAAAACGAGATTCTGAGCAGCTCCGTGTCCGCAAATCCGACAGCTCAGATGAAATAGACAAGATTCTTGAAAGACACAAGCTACCAAACGGCAGGACAGACAGCGTGCCTGAGCGGCAGTCCGCGAGCAAGGAGCTTGAGCATGCAGCAGAAACTTTCCTGCAAATGGGACTGCAGGCCCAGGTGGATTTTCCAGCAGGCAGGCATGGCAGGCATGGTTGCAAGGACCAGGTCCATGGGGGAAGATGCCACGAGGACAGCCGTTCTGGCGCCAGGAATGAGCTCACGGTGACAGACAAGGATTCTCGGAACCAATGTCAACACAAGTCTGCAATGCACTGATGACGTGTCAAAGGGTATGTGGTGACCAGGGTCTGGTCTGCCCAGGAGGCAGGTAGGTCAATCTGCGTGATCTGAGAGCAGCAGTCATGGTGCAGGCACACGGCGACTCAGCAGAGCCCCTGGAGAACAGCTCCTGTTGCCACACCCAGTGCTGACCCCACATCTGGCAGGGCCGTGAATGTCCGCGGACCGACAAGAGACTCCAAAAAAACTATAGCTAATGTCCTACTGAACAGAGAAAAGCTGTGTTTTCTCTCTTGGGGCAGGAACAAGCCAGAAATCTCTCACGGCCATTTTCAGCATGCCTTGGAAGCATCAGCCGATGGTGAGACAAGAAAGAACTTGAAAGAGACAAAGCTGAGTCTGCACATGGCTGACCTGCTCGGAGAGCCCTGACACGACCCACAGAGACCCCACCAGCTGGCGACCCCTGGCTGTGGGGCCCAAGGCCAACATGCCAACTGGGGCCCTGGGGAGTGTAGCTGGGTCGGCCTGAGCGTGTGTGGCACCAGGTGAGCTGGAGACAGCTCCCTGGGTGTGGGGAAGCCACAGGTGCTGGGAAGCCTTTTGGGGCACCTTGACAGCTGGGGAGGCCCCCGTCTCTCACTCCTGCACCCCAAGATTTAACATGTTTTAAGATGTCAGTTTTCTCCAAACTGGTCTATAAACCACACTGTGGAAACAAGGGGCTTCTTTCACAGCTGGTTCCAAACGCCGCGCGGAACCATCTGGACTCGCGCTACAGACTCTGAAGAGGAAAAAGGCAGAGCAGGTTGGAGGGTGTGCGTCCCCGCTGGAATAAAGTTCAAAGGTAGCTGTGGCTGTTGCCTGCTGCCGGCCTATGGGCATAGGGCCCCCCCCCCAAGCAGTTGGGCTTCTTAGAAAGCCAGGCACCCCTGGGCCTGTTTCCTGCGAACCTGTTTCTGTGTTTGCCTGAGAGAGAGAAGCCCACGAACACTTTCCTGAAACCCTGCATGACAGCCTTCAAGTGGTAGCTGCTGGGACAGAAGCAGTGTGGGCGTCTGGCTGTCCAGCATCAAGTGGGCAGCAGACCCAGGGCCCACCTGCAGGAAGCCACTCAGCAGGGAGGGCTGGCGCGGTTGCCGGTATGGGGCGGAGACGCTCTGGGTGACGGCAGAGGCGACATCGCACGTCCCGTTTTGCTCCCAGGGGAAGACTCCGTGTCGTCACAAGATGCGTGCGGCCGAGAGCAGGACATGCCGAGCCTGGGCGGTGCTGGTCAGGACCCCCTCCTGGCGTCCCAGGCACGACGTGGAGGGGGCCGGCCGTGTTGCGTATCCTGCAGGACGGGGCGCGGGCTGGGGTACCTTTGGCTGGGTAGGCCGGAGTGAGCAGGTCCCCCATGCCGTCCAGGTTCAACACGTTGCCTCTCTGGACAGCAGTCCCAGGCAGGCTCCACCCTTCGGGGTACGGCTGCACCCCAGGCGCAGAGGAGTCGGCCGGGTCTGAGAACAAGATGACACCTGAGGCCCCCGCCGCTGCGGTGTTCCTGACATAAGTGGAGAGCCTGGGGAGCAGGGGATGCTGGCTGGCCTGGGGCACCTAGGTGCAAAGCAGGCTGGGCGGTGCTGCTGCGCGGAGCCCCTGGGGCAGGGTGGGGCGCTGGATGATGGAGAATTGTGGGTGCCTTGGGGGCTGGAGGGGGTGGTGACGGCATCTGTGGAGGTATCAGCCTGCACCCCTGAAACCTGCCAACCAGTAAACGCAATTTCCAGGGGTCTCAGGCAGCAAAAGGCAACTTTCTCCAGGACAACACAGGGCAGGTTAGGGTTAGGGTTAGGGTTAGGTGGGGCGGCCCGGAGCACAGGCACCTTGTTTGCTCTGAAAACCTTCCCGTATCTGGCGAGGATGATCCTCCCGGCGCAGCTGATGCCCATCTCCCTCTCCAGCAGCAGAAAGTCCTCGGTGTGCCCGTAGTTCACGTACACGAGGTCCCCCTGTGAGGGATAGCTGCATCAGGCCTGGACCATGGCCAGACCAGCGTGCAGCTTAGGGGCAGCCCTGCGAAGCTAAAAAGGGGTGGTGTGTAAGACAGCCTGGGCCGGCCCGAGTGGCAGGAGCTGCCAAGGAGAACGGGAATAAAATAGCGGCCACACCCCAGCTGCTCAGTTTCCACCCTTGGCCTTGGCCTCATGGTGAGTGGGTGTGTTCCACCCCATGAATCGGTGCCAGCCAGGCCGCAGCAGGCCCTGTGCAGGGTCCCTGCCCCAGGATCACGGGCAGGGGACCAGCCATGGCAGGGTGCGGTGCAGGCACGTCCAGGACTCCCCCGGGCACTGCCTTGGCCTGCCTACCACACAGGTTTATAAAATAGGCAGGTGTGAGGGGCTGAGTGTCTTCACCTCTGGCGTGCTCTGGGCTGAGAAGGCATTATATGGCGGGACGATGTTTGTGACGTTCTCATAGCCACCCGGTGCTGCCTCGAGGCCTGAGGTCTTGAAAATCTAACAAGAAACACACAAAGTTGGACAGGAACATTCCAGATTGCTGTTGAAGAATAACACATTTTGCCCCCAACTGTCCACTTAAAGTTGTGCTTCCTGAAAATAGGGTCTACCCTTGCACAGGCCACCCTCCCAGACAGTGGCGAGAGAGAGCTCTGTCCTGTCTTCAAAGCAGCAGCTTCTAGAAATGCCTGGGCCTGTGGCAGCTGGGTGCTCAGGAGCCAAGGGGGCTCCAGAGACGGCACCCACCCCTCCACCTCCCGCCATGCATGGCCCCTTTGTCTGCCCCAAACAAATTGCCCCAGCCCCCTGCCTGCTGCCTCCAGCCCTCCCCGCAAGGCTGAAATGACTCAACATTTCACCCGGATGCTTATGATTGGCCCATGGATGAGCGAGCTCAACACACCAAAGCCTGGACTTGTCGCACCCCGGGCCTGCGTCTGGTGCCCTCTGACACCAGTGTCATCGGAGGCCCTTGCCCCTCCCTCCAGGGAGCCACAGCCGCATCCCGCCTGCTCCTTGATCCCAGCCTCCCTCCACCCTGCCCCACGGGCTGTGCCACCTCTCGGCAGGACTCCGCGCCCAGCCCCTCGCCTTGTCCAGCCTGACCTGTTGCCTGCCCGGGCTGTGAGCGCCGGCCACACCTGTGAGTTCAGGGCTGCCAGCGGTTCCTGCTGTCTAAGTGGGGCCTCAGCCCCTCGGACAGCACAGAAGCCTGAGGACATGCTGTTGTGCGCTCTCCGTGGCCACTTTGCACCTGACTGTTAAATAGAGAAGAGCTTATTCTCCCGCTCATGGAGCCACTGTGTTTCCCAGCCTTTGCCGATACAATTTACCTGCCCAGAAGTAAGCATTTTGTGGGCCTCCCCGGTGGCGCAGCGGTTGAGCGCTGGGTTGCGAAGCTGCCCGCAGCCTCTGCAGTGCCGGTTCGATCCCCGGCTGCTCCCCAGCCACCGGAGGAGGGTCCCGCATGGCGCGCAGACCTCTCCTGCCGCCCGCTGCTCCCCTCAGCAGTGTACTTCGGTCCTTCTGCCTGCTCTGCTCCCCGCTCTGGCTCTGGTGAATTCTCTCACCCTCCCGCGCTTCTGACTGTACCCAGTGCTTGGATAAATAAATAAATCTTTAAAAAAAAAAGTAAGCATTTTGTTTGCTTTTTCGTGTCATCAGCCCCTGGGGACATTAATACTTTCAGGACGGGGTCTCTTGACTCCTGGACTGCGCTGAGTGACCCTCCTGTGTGGAGCTGGCCCTGATCCGTGCTCACCCCACAAACTTGCGGCATGTCCCACACCTGCCTCAATTTACCTACACAGAGGAGCCACGTCCTCGGGTTCACTCTGACTCATGACCTAGCCCCGTGGGGGCTGGCACTGGGCCCCACGGCATCAGCCCACAGCCCATGGGCTCCTAAGCTCAGGAGCCCGCTGCGGCCTGGCAAGTGTCCATTTGGACTGCACCCACGTCCCATTTCACAGAATACGGTGGACACGTAAAAGCACGAACGGTGTCAGCAGTGCTCTGTCACCTCCAGCTCTCTAGCCCCTGCACGTCCACGGCTGACATGTAGTTGGGGTTCGTCTCGTTGGGGTAAGACAGGAGAACGTCGTAATGAACCAGCTTGACCACATCCAGTCCAAATTCCTCCCACTGGCTTTGGATTTTCTTGGCAAGCAGGAAGTTCTGTTCTGTTCCGGCCAGGTGACGGAGCTTTGTAAATGAACTAGAATGAAAATGAGATAGAAGCTGGGTTACAGCCGCCGTCCGGATACCAGGCCAAGTGCACACTCTCCCGCAGGCATGGCGGTGCCGTGTCCACCCCAGGCTGAAGCTGCACTGGCGGGCACAGGCCCATGCCCCGGCCAAAAAGGCATACTCTGTGGTGAGCAGGGAGTTGCATGATTAGGGGAAAGTGTATTTCCGTGAGATGGAAGAGTAACCCTGAACTTTTGCCTGGTTATTCGCTAGTCTCTCTTTGTGTCTAACAGAAGAAAACTTTGTGTTTATCATCAGGAATAACAACATAGCACATTATCAAACCAGAATCGCCAAAAGGAAATCACAGCGATGGGTAATGGGCCATTCAGGCCTCCTGGGCTGGAGAGAGTGGGGCAAGCGTTGCACAGCTTGGAGAAGCCAGACCAGATTTATGGCATTAGCCCCTGTAGCTGAGCCTCGCTCCCTCCCACCTCTCGCCACCTGGCCTGTGGCCAGTCGACTCCAGCCCTTCCACGTTGTCTGAGCCACCTCCCGGTCTGCCGGTGCATTGAGCACCCCGCATACCTGCACACAGCTTTGCTTTCTGTGCCCGCAGGTGTCTCGGCTAGGAGGCCACACCCTCCACTGGCCTGCTCACATATTTTTCCTTCTTTGAAAAGTAACAGAACACTTGAAATGCCTACCAAAAGCCCCCACCTACTCCTCCTCCTAGGTGCTGGCAAGACTGAGGGCCACGCCTCTTTGGTCCCTAAATTCTTGGGCTCTTCATTTAATGCACTTCACTCTTGGCGTCTTCCTTGGTGAGCAATACCTATGTCGAGGCGGGTGTGGAGGAAGGAACAGCCGACCCCAGCGAGGTGACAGGCTGCAATCCAGCTGATCACACAGGACACTGCCCCTGCGCTCTTGTGCGTAGCCCCAGTGAAGATGAGACACAAGTGTCACATCGGTTGAGTGTTTTCACTTGCTCCAGTTCAGTTGTGGACACTTAAAGCGGAACTTCGTGACCCTGCCCAACCATAGACACGTGGTGGGGCTGAACCGTGGTCCCTTACTCTAAGGACCTGCTTCCGTGGTCTAGCTGGAACCTCGGAAGGGAGAAGAGACGGAACACTGGCACCTCTCTACAGAAGGTCAATTTTAATTGTAAAGAAAACAACAGGTTGACAGGAAGCGGAGGGAAGAAGAGACAGCAAACAGCCCGTAACAGCTGGAAAGGTTTGTTTACACCGAGGGAGGCAGACTGATGGGCCTGCCAGACACAGAAAAGGACGTTCTCGAGATAAAGAGCAACATGACGCCATCACTGTGTGAACAACAAACAGGCCTCAACATACTTGGCAACAATTTCCAGAGTAAGCTGGAAAAACAGACAATTCACAACCTGGAGGAGACTGTTAACTGTCATCTTGGTAGAATCTGGTCACCCCGCAATTCAGAAACTAAAGAAATGCGAATCAAGATGCCAGTCAGCTTCAGAAGAAAAATCATGCGACCATATCAGCTGATGCAGGAAAGCAATTTGATAGACTGTCCATTCATAAGTTTAGAGCTGTGGCACCTTCGGCCATCCTGGAGGAGAGGGCAGCTGCCGTGACTTCATGGCGAAACAGAATCCTTTCCCCTGAGGTTCCAAGATGCAGGATGTTTGCTCTCCTCAGTCTTCCCCGGGACAGTGCCGGGGTTCTGTTCAGCACAAGTACACAAAATCATAAAAGACCCACAGATTGGAAAGAGAAATAAAAACTCCCTACTCAAAGATGCAGAGCCCTAACAAACGAAGAAATAACTTCTAGACCTAATGAGAGCTTAGACAGGCCACAAGATGCAAGACAGCGCACAGAACCCAACAGTGTTTCCACGTATTAACAGCAAACATGAAAGCATGAAGTGACTCACAGTGGATTAATACTTGACCTAAAGACACATCAAGCTTGGATGGCCACCTCGCACACGCCTCCTGAGATCCTGGTGCCTCAGGGGCTCTTTGGTGTCCAAGCCTCGCTGCCACGTTCCCAGCAGAGACTCCCGGACAGCCACACTCATTGTGCGTGTTATAGGGAATAAGCGGAGGAATCGTTGAGAAGAGTACAGTGGTGGGAATCACCCCACACGCTGCAGAGGCTCCCTGTGGACCGTGAATGCTCGAGGCAGAGCAGGACACTGGGGGACTCAGCAGATCAGAGAGCCCAGAGGCGTGCACAGCTATGCCCGTTTTCTTAATAAAGGCACAAAAGCAGTGAAATGAAAGGAGAAACGTGTCAGCGGATGCTGCTGAGCAACTACACAGCCAGAGGCAGAGAAAGCTTCTCCGCAGATGTGCACCCCGAGAGTAACCGGATGCGAGGCAGAGAGTAGAGTGTAGACGGTGAAGTCAGGAGGACAGTGTAGGGAGGAGGCATCTGAGGCTGAGGAGCTCTTAACCTGAGCCCTAAGTGTGACCCCTGGCAGGGAGGACCAGTCCCTCAGGCCTGACTGAAATGGATGGCAGGTCACCCTGTCTGACAAGATGCCCATGGAGCCCAGGCCATGGGGCGCAGGATGAGAACTGGCATGGGGGTGGGGGGACGCAGGTCACAGGCACCGCCAGCACCACCAGAGTCGGCTGCTGGACTGGGGAGACACGGGTGGCAAGGGAGGGCCAGCCGAGCCCCCCCCACTATCCAGCTGGGAGTAATTAAGCCAGAGTGAAAACTGCTCAAAGCAAGGGCCGGGTGTGTCCGCGATGGCCCCGCTGGCGGCTGCAGGAAGCAGGGAGAAGGTGGCCGTCAGGCCCCGTGGGACTCACCGGAGGAAGGGCCTGATGCTCCCGGTGTCCATCCCCGAGACCAGCTTCCTGTGGACGCTGTGGTGCCAGCCCGGTGCCCAGGCTGCTCCCTCCAGCAGCTTCGCCATCCAGCCTGGGGGAGGGGTTGTCAAGGCCACCCCAGCCGGCCCGCCCGCCCTCTCCCCAAGGCAGACCCAGTGCACACTTACCCACCAGGACCCCGGCCAGGAAGGCCACCAGCACCGCCAAGCACAAGCCCAGGCACAGCCAGCCCCGGGCCCTGGCCATGGCAGTCTCTGCTGCTGCCCGCCGGCCCCAACCACGCTGCTGGGCCAGGACGCTGCAGAGAGGATGTGGCTGGTGAGCACCACCGCCGCCAGGAAGGGGTAGGGACAGGCTGTGCTGGGCCCGGGAGGGGGAGGCTGGGAGGGCCAGGCTGACCATCCTCCCCGGGGGGTGGGCCTGAGCCTTGTCTTCCCTGTGGGTGGCCCTGCCTCTGGCCTGCCTGGTCACTCTGTGAAGTGTCTCTGGAGGCAGGGGCACCCCGTAAGCCTGAGCTCCTTGATATCAAAGTGGATGCAATGGGGCTGCTTGCCGGCCCCCATACTGGTGCCCACATTTGCATCAGTGAAATAATGGGAGGCAGCTCGGGCCTCTGCTCCACTTGTAGGGCGCAACCCCCAAGCCCCCCTCAGCTCAGAAGAGCGCAGGAGCCTCTGCTCTCCCCTGACCGGGCTCCTGAAGTGCTTTGACAGGGGAGTGCAGGGATGGCTCTTGCTCCACTGAGGTAGCTCCTGGTGGCCCCTGAGGGAGCTGGGCCAGAAGACTGACATGCCGGCCAGCTTGGAAGATTCTGCCCTTCCTTTGCCCCCATTCTCCAGAGAAGGGAGCCCACCCCCCCCACACAGAGTTAATAGCTGGTTTGGCATAGTGAGGAAGCCCCGGGAACCCCGGAAGTGCAGGGTTTTGGGGGCTTCCAGGCCGACAGATGCGTCAACACCCGAGGGTGATGCACCCCAGGGAGGCGTCCCCACCCCTGGGGACAGACACACCTGCCCAGGCCCCCTCGTCCCTGAACCTCTTCATTTGGACTGGGAAGTGTGTTTCCAGAGTCCTGAGAGCCCCTTTGGCAAAGTGACTGAGCTGAAAGGGGGTTGGGCATTCTGGCCTGTAGCCCGCAGGCAGGCAACCTCCTGAACTTGCCCTGGCACCTGAGCACAGGTGGGTGAGGAGAGCAGTGGTGGCAGGGGCGCCGAGCCGCAGGACACTGTCTCTAGGCTGGTGTCTGGGCTGAGCCGCATTGCCAGACATGCAGCTGGTGTCAGAGCTGGCCCCCCACAGGGAGGCTGAGGTGTCTGTGAACTGGGGGGTGTGGCTCAGGGAAGTCAGGCCCTGATGATAGAAAGCCCTTGTCTGTGAAGTTGTTCTTACTCTGATCTCGATCAGCTATTTACAGTTTGATGAATAAGAGAAATCAGTATATTAGCAGTTTTTAAACTTGATTAATCTCAAAATCATATTATTTTAATACTTGAGGGGCTACACAGCACACTACACACTGAAAACTTCTGGGGACACAGCCCTTGCCTTTGGGGAGCCTCTAGCACGACAAGAAAACCAATAAGGAGCACATAATCAAGTACCAGGTGCTGTAAGGTGCGGTAATACCTTAGATAGGAATGCTGCCGCCGCCGTAGCTGGTATCTGCCGCCTGCATCTTGCCAGTCCATGTGTGGGAAGCTCAGTTAGGTGGTTCAGCAAGTCTGACCTTTTGTTAATACAGATACAGAATTATTATTCCAGCTTAGAAGGCTGTGATCACAGTTGATAGTTATTAGCAGCTAGAAAGATACTTGCATCTGCAAAGGTCATTTAAGAAAGGAACATAGTTGATTTGAGCCAATTGCATTTTCTTCAAAACTAAAAAGTATGCTGGAAACTGTCAGTATTGTGAAACCAGTTTCTCAGTGAAACTGTTGAACACATTTGGTTTGCTCATAATTAGATGGATTTTGCATCACAAAATGCATCATCTTCTTCCTTCATAAAGCAGCTTGCTCCCACATGACCTTCCTCCTGCCTCCCAGGGTGGAGGGGGTGACTCCGCAAGGTCCCAAGCCCCAGCCCCCCTGAGGGCTGCAGCAAGGCCTGAAGCCAAGTGGCGTGTGTGCAACAAGTAAGTTCCTGGGTGACTGTGACAGCTGCAACTTACCAGAGAAGGGGTGCTTTTCGCTGTCACAAAGTTGGTGTTTGGTCTGGAGATGTGGTCTTCTTTCATGTGAGAGGCTCACCGGCATGCTCGCGCCACAGATGGCGATGTCATAAGGTGACATTACTGGAGGAGGGTGGGCGGGTCAAGTGCAGGGTCCACTTTCTGAGCAGTTCTGGGTGGTTCGCAGCAAGATTCAACTTCCGGTGGATTACTTCTTGCCTTCTGGGTCCAGGAACTGCCAAGAACCAGGTCCAGGAGGCATCACACTTGCTGACTTGTCACACAGCAGTAGTAATGAAATCGGTGGCTCTGGGACACAGACAGGCAGGCAGGCAGATGAAGGGAACGAAAGCCCACAGATAAACCCACACAGACAGCTCATTTCTGGCAGAGGTGCTACGGCCACACCATGGGAAAAAGACAGCCTCTTAGATCAGTGGTTCTGGGAAACCCGGATGGCCGCTTTCAAAAACAAACAAAAAACCCAGCAAAACAGAACCCATACTTAACTCCATACACAAAAGTTAATTCAAAATGGATTAAAGGTTTGAGTATAAGAACCAAAACCATAAAGTGCTTGAAAAAAATATGGGGCCACCCCAGGATATCTACCACAAAGATGTATTTCAGGACTTAACCCCAATAGCAAGGGAAACAAAAGCAAATACAAACAAGTGGGAGGATGTTAAACTTTTGTAGCTCAAAAGAAACCATACAGGGACCTCTCTGGTGATACTAGGGGTTAAGTGTCAGCACTCTGAGGCTGTCCACATCTACTGCAGCACAAGTTCAATCCCCACCCAGGGAGGTGACCCACATGGTACAGCAGACCTCTCCTGTTTCCCGTTGCCCCCTCAGCAGTGTGTTTCTGCCTGTTCTGCTCCCCAATCTGTCTCTGTTGAATCCTCTCACCTCCCCCCTACCTCTGGCCTGTACTCCAATTCTTGTGTGCATAAATAAATCAATCTTAAAAAAAAAAGTCACAGAAACAAAAGGCAACCTAAAGAATGGGAAAAAAATACTTTTACATCAGACATCTAACAGAGGACTAACTGCCAAAATTTATGAACTACTTACATAACCCAACAACATAGAAACAAATAACCCGATTGAAAAATAGACAGGGGACCTAAATAGATACTTTGCTAAAGAAGACATCTAGATGGCCTACAAGCATATGACAAACTGTCCAACATCTCTTCTTAGAAGGGGAAGGCCAATCAAAACCTCTTCGAATGCTGCCTCACCGCTGTGAGATGGCTTGCGGAAAAAGGAACAGAACCATTAAATATTGGTGAGGTGGTGGTGAAAGAGGAATTTGCATCCCCTTTTGTTGGGAGTGCAAATTGGGGCAGCCCCCATGGAAAGTGGCATGGAGATTTCTTAAGAAAATAAGAATAAAAGTTCTACAATTGGCAATACTTCTATTAGGTATTTATCCAAATAATAAGAAAGCGAATGTGGGTCCCCTGTGCCTGTGTTCACAGCAGCACCATCCGGAATGGTCAAGTCATGGGGCCATCCCATGTGCCCTTTCCCAGATGGATGGATGAAGAAATCGGGGAATATATGTTCAGTGGAATACTACACAGTAGTTTGAAAGAGGGAAAAGGGCGTTTGGGACAAAGTGGATGGAATTTGAGGTGATTGTGTTAAATAAGTCAAAAAGCAAAAGAAAGATATCGGATGGTTTCACTCGTCTGTGGAGTACAAATAACCAGAAACATCCACAGGCAGAGTACAGTAGGGAGAAATCGTGAATTCAGTGAAAAAATAGCTTGGTTACCACCGCGAACAAGGGGCAGGGAGGGAGGCACGTGGGGCGCGGGTGTGGGCGGTGGGTTGAGCATGAGTGTAAAGTGCACACGTGGAAGAGCAAAAGTGTAACCCCCAAATAAAAAAGTCAGGTTTAACCTTAAAATAAGATGCTGGCCTGTCAGTATGTCGTGCAGCCTGTCACGACCCAAGGCACGGTGGGTGGGGCGGCGCAGAGACTGGGACAAGCATCAATGTGAGCCAGAAGCTCTGGAAGGAAGCCGGGGCACCGTGACTGGAAGGCTTCCTGCTGGCGCCAGGACCACTCTGCTCAGCGGGAAATGCAGGTGTCAGGAAGGACCCACCCGCCGAGACAAAGGTGTGAGTCTGTGAGGAGCCCTCCGGGTCTCAGGGTGCACCCAGACAGGCTCCAGGCAGGACCTGGGGCTGTGCCTGCTCACCCCTGCCAGTGCCATGTGCTTCTGCCTGCAGCGGGGGGAACCACGGCCGGGGGTGCTGTCCTCCCGCTGCCCCCAGCCTAGTCAGATCTGACCTCTCCCGCCTGCTCTTCCTACTTGCACCCCACCTGCCCTGTCTTCCTGATGTCTGCTTTTCCCGGACAGCACTCTCTAGAAACACAAGACCTCACTTCTGTAGCTTGTGTCTCCCTGGGGCCCAGGGTGGGGGTGGGGTGGGGGCTGGGGCCGGCCCGTGCCCACAGTCCTCCTGCTGTCTCCTCTTGCATATTGTGCCCTCTGGGGACACTGTTTGCATTCTCGCCTGTCCCAGGAGCACGAAGGGCCCATCTGGGCCAGCACTGGCCCAGCCAGCTGTTGGCTCCACAACCCAAAGCCGCCTGGAATCCAGCTGCTGCACCACACTCCTCTGCTCTCAGCTGCACTCCCAGCTGTCTTGAGCTCAACAGCAGGACAGTCAGCACAGTCCAGGGACATCGCGGCCCCTCGCTGGTCTGCGTGCCTCTGCCCTCGCTCCTGCAAAGGCCACGGTCAGCTCAGTAGAGTTGCTTTCTGAGACTAGTAGTCACATCATGTGCTCACTACAGTCCCTCAAAGCAGCAGACACTCGGGGACATGCAGACCAGATGGCAGCGACCAGGGACATACCTCAGCAGCAGAGACTGCCGGCATCACAAAGAACCACACAGCCCTGGGCCTGCGGGCCTGCACTCTCCTGGCCAACCCTGTGTCCATGGCTACGGAAGAAGGCGGTTGGTAAAGGCACAATGCCAGGACAGCTCCTGGGCTCCCACCAGCCTGCCCCACAGCCCCTCCTAAGGCTAAAGAACAAGAAAGAAGAGTCC